GGCTACAATCATACATTGACAGAGAACTTCCAGAGGTTCACACTGGATTCAGAAAAGGCCATGGAATGAGGGATATAATTTCTGATGTGCAATGCATCTTGGCTGAAAGCAGAGAATATCAGAAAGATGTTTACTTGTGCTTTATTGACTAAGCAAAGGCTTTCAATTGTGTGGATCAAGACAAGCTATGGACACCATTGCCAGGTATGAGTATTCCAGAACACTTAATTGTGCTCTTGAGGAATCTGTACCTGGACCAAGAAGTTGTTCAAACAGAACATGGGAACACTGAATGTGTTAAAATTGAAAAAGGTGTACAAGGTTGTATTCTTTCACCATGCTTACTCAACCTGTATGCTGAGCAAATAATCTGAGAAGCAGGGTTATATGAAGAAAAATGTGGCATCAGGATTGGAGGAAGACTCATTAACAATCTGCAATATGCAGACGACACAACCTTACTTGTGGAAAGTGAAGAGGACTTACATTTACTGATGAAGATCAGAGAGCACAGCCTTCAATATGGATTGCATCTCAATGTAAAGAAAACAAAAATCCTCACCACTGGACCAATAAACAACATTCTTATCAATGGAGAAAAGATTGGAGTTGTCAAGAACTTCATTCTTCTTTGATCAACTATCAACACTCAAGGAAGCAGCAGTCAAGAAATCAAACGACGTATTGCATTAGGTGAACCTGCTGCCTAAGACCTTTGGAAAGTGTTGAAGAGCAAAGATGTCAGCCTAAGGACTAAGGTGTGCTTGACCCAAGCCATGTTATTTTCAATATCCTCATATGCATGCGAAAGCTGGACAGTGAATAAGGAAGACTATTAAGGTGGAGAGTCAGAGAAAAAGAGGAAGAAGAATCCCCAACAAGATGGATTGGCCAAGTGGCAGCATCGATGGACTCAAGTGTGGCAACAGTAGTGAGGTTGGCCCAGGATCGGGCCGTGTTTCGTTCTGCTGTGCATAAGGTCACTATGGGTCGGTACTGACTCGATGGTACCTAATAACAACAACAACATTCATCCATCAAACTGTTTGAATGTCTACTATGTTTCAGGCACTATTCTGTTGTTGTTGTTGTTAAGTGCCATCGAGTCGGTTCCGACCCATAGCAACCCTGTACAGGGTTTCCGAGGGTGTAAATCTTTACAGGAGTAGAAAGCCTCATCTTTCTCCCGCGGAGCAGCTGGTAGTTTCGAACAGCTGACCTTAAGGTTCGCAGCCCGATTCGTAACCACTACGCTACCAGCAGGCACTATTCTAGGCATGGGGATAAAGCAATAAACAGAAGACGGAAAGCTTCCAGCCCTCATGGAATTTACATTCAAGCATTAAGAGCTACCCTTACCTGCTGCTTCCATAAAGGTCTTGTTTAGCCGAAAAGTCAGAAGAGGCTCTCTGAGGTTTCGAAGGAAGTCTTTCAAGAGGCTACAGATAGCATGGATGTCATCCACTTTGCTGAGGAGGGGAACAGTTTTCACTCGGAGGAACTTCTCTTTCAGCTCTTTTACCGTCCGGTCACAGCCTGAGATCCTATACAGGCCTGTCTATTATCAAGATGATACTTTTATTTATTTAAGAACCTCCTAATTATTAGCACAAACAATAAATTCTCCCTCTCCTGGGGTTGACTCTTACCTCAGTCAGCCCTCTCTGCTCAATCTCATTTACGCAGTGGACAACAATGGAAGGGATCATTGGAGAAGTCTGAGACACAAAATCTGCCAGCATTCCCTGTAAAGGGAAAAGTTTAAAATTATTTATACTACTTAGAAGAGCAGATGAAAATCACATGTATAGAAACCAATTTCCAGATTCATACTCAGGCTAGGACATTATATGTACACTTTAAATTCCTATTTCCAAAGCATGTCCAAAGGGGCTTCAGAAAGATTGTAGAAAATGAAATTAAATGATAATAGCATTTTTCCATGAACTTTTTGAAGCCCTCTTGTATCAGAACAGAGACTCAATGCCTGCCTCTACAAATTGACTACATCTGTGGAAAGAGAGCATGGAAAAAGTCCTTATCATCAGCCAAAACAAAACCAAGGGCAGACTTTGCTCATATGCAAGATCAGACTAAAGCTGAAGAAAATTAAAACAAGTCCATGAGAGCTGAAGTATGACCTTGAGCATATTCCACCTAAATTCAGAGATCATCTCAAGAACAAATGTGAAGCATCAACGCTGTATCTATCTGACTGAAGATCCAAAGAGTTGTACGATGACACCAAAAACAACACAGAGAGAGAAAGTCAAAGAAGGAAAAGATCAAAATGGATGTCTTAAGAGACTCTGGGACTGGCTGTTCAGCATAAAAATGGTAACACAAACTGAAGAAATGAGGAGGTAAAAGAACTGAACAGAAAATTGCAAAGGACAGCTCGAAAAGACAAAGTCAAGTATTATAATGAAATATGCAATGACGTGGAGTTAGAAAACCAGGAGAAGAACACGCTCAGCACTTCTCAAGCTGAAAGAACTGACAAAAAAAAATTCAAGCATAGACTTGTCATATTGAAGGACTCCAAGGACAAAATAATGACTGATGCAGAATCATCAAAAGATGGGAGGCACACACAGTCACTGCACCAAAAAGAAATAGTTGATGTTCAACCGTTTCAAGAGACAGCGTATGATCAAGAACCAATGGTACTGAAGGAAGAAGTCAAATGTGCACGGAAGGCAGTGGCAAAGAACAAGGCTCTGGGAATTGATGGAATATAAATTGAAATCTTTCAACAAACTGATGCAGCACTGGAGGTACCTCACTCATCTAAGTCAAGAAATTTAGAAGACAGTTACCTGACCAACTGACTGTAAATGGTTCATATTTGTGCCCATTCCACAGAGAGGTGACCCAATGGAATACATAAATGAATAGACAATATAATGTAATATCATGTGCAAATAAATCTTGCTAAAGACAATTCAAAAATGACTGCAACAGTATATTGACAGGGAACTGCCAGAGGTTCAAATCAGATTCAGATGAGGACATGGAACAAGGAATATCATTGCTGTCATCAGATGAATCATAACTGAAACAAAGAACACCAGAAAGATGTTTACCTGGGCTTTATTGACTAGGCAAAAGCTTTCAACTGTGTGGATCATGACAAGCTATGGGAAACATTGTGAAGAAGGAGTATTCCAGAACACTAATTGTGCTCATAAAGAGCCTGGACATAGACCAAGAGGCAGTTGTTCATACAGAACAAGGAAACACAGAATGGTTTAAAATCAAGAAAAGTGTGTGCCAGGGTTGTAGTTTTTCATACTTATTCAATCTGTATGCTGAGCCAATAATCCAAGAAGCTGGATTATATGGAGAAAAACATAGCATCAGGATTGGAGGAAGACTCATTAATTTATAGTATGTAGATGATACAATCTTGCTTGCTGAAAGTTGAAGTGGACTAAAATACTTACTGGTGAAGATCAAAGACCAGAGTCTTCAGTACGGGTTATACCTCAATGTAAAGAAAACAAAAATCCTCACCAGTGTACCAATAAATAACATCATGATAAGTGGAGAAAAAAATTGAAGTTGTCAAAGACTTCGTTTTAGTTGGGTCCACTATGAACACTAATGGAAGCAGCAGTCAAGTAATCAAACAACATATTGCACTGGGCAAATTTGCTGCATGAGACCTCTTTAAAGGGCTGAAGAGCAAAGATGTCAATTTGAAGACTAAGGCAAGTAATCGTATTTTCAGTAGACTCATATGTAAATGTTGGAAAATGAATAAAGAAGACCATAGAAGAATTGATGCATTTGAGTTACGGTGTTGGAGAAGAATACTAAAAGTACCATGGACTGCCAGGAGAACAAAGAAATATGTGTTGTATTGGAAGAAGTACAACCTTAGCACTCCTTAACACTCCTTAGCAGCCAAGATGGTCAGACTTTGTTTCTCATACTTCAGACATATTATCAGGAGGGACCAGTCCCTGGAGAAGAGCATCATGCTTAGTAAGGTGGAGGATCAGTGAAAAAGAGGGAGACCCCCCCAAATGAGATATATTGGCACAGTGGCAGCAGTAACGGGCTCAAGTGTAAGCACAACTGTGAGGATGGTGCAGGACCAGGCAACGTTTCGTTTGCAATACCTAAGTTCTCTGTGTCGAAACTGACTCAACGGCAACTAACAACAACCAGGACTGACTTATGGTCACATATGTCAAGATAAGGCTCTCTGTTCCTATAAAGATTTATAGCCTCAGAAACCCTATACAGACAGGGTTACTATGAGTAGGAACAAACTCGATGGTACACTGTTACCATACCACTCTTTTATGAACAAGTACTAAAACTACCAGCTAGAACTCTATCCGCCTTCTTCTCAAGAAAGGGCAGCAGAGATTACAGGTATGAGCTTTAATATAAATCAATCTACCACTGTAAAAAAGGAAACCTTTTTCACTTTAAGTACTCTTAGTAAGAATAATTACTTAACAAATCTCACAGCTGATCATGAAATAAACCTACCTGTAGGGCAGAATTCCAGGGTTCTAAATTAGGATACAGGTTTTTTTGTTTTGTTTTTAAAATTTATATGCTTGGATAAAATTAGGGAAAAACAATGTGTTTTGTTTTGTTTTGCTAAGGGGTTGGAATGAGCTTTTTTTTTTTTTTTGCTAATGTTGTTTGTAAGCAAATAACTTCTTAATGAGGTTCAACAATTTTCAACAATAACCATTCTAATCTTGATAGTTTAATACAGACTATATCACAAAAGAATAGTTACAGATAAAATTACATGATGGTTATGATTTGCTTCAAAATAATCCACTAGATGGGGCTGAGAAAGGAGACAGGGTATCAAGATTGAACAGGAGTTAGTAATTGCTGAAGTTGGGTGATGGGAACCGGGAGTTAATTACATTCTTCATTCTACTTCTGTTTATGTTTGAAGTTTTCCAAAATGGAGAAAGAAAGGAAGGGAAAAAGGAAGGGAGAGAGAGGAGAGAGGAGCTTGTTTCAAAATATTATTAAACAGAAAACCCAGAAAAACCCAGATAGAACTCTGCAACAAGCTAACATTTTTATAATTCCTATTCATTATTTGTGGGAAGGATATATACTTGACAGCATTAATTTTAGAGCAAACACTAACATTAGGCCTTTGAGAGCCTAAAATAGCTACAGCACAAGGATGGCTCCTACAAGTCATACCTCTCCGATCTTGACAGGTGTTCCTATCAGGGTAGGAATGCAGGGAAGGGGACAGCGCTCTCGACATTCTGGATGAGAGACCACACGACAGTCTCGACATTTTAGGGACAGCTTGCCAAATTTTATCCGCTTTCCACATGGAACACAAGATTCTGGTTTAATAACCTAAGGATAGAATACACAAAAGGAACAGAGTAGTATGAACTGATAGACAGTCCTTGACTTACAACAGGGCTCCATTCTGACAACTCCATCAGAAGTCAATAATTGAATACTTTTTTGTTTTCGTTTTCATTACTGCCTTTTATGTTGAGTATCAATGAAGTCAGAGTCAGTCTTTTAATAATAAAGTCAGAGTCATACATAGCTATCAGACATGTGCAGAGTTCATCTATTGTACACTGACAGAGTTGAACATTGCCCAATTTTCTATGCAATATAACTCCCAACACTTACTTCACTGTTATACAACATTATACAGTAGCATTTTGAACAGTAAATCATAAAATTGAACATCTGCAAATAATAACATTACCACATAAGCAAATTAGATACAGCAACACTGTATGCAGTACATATTAACTAATTATTAGTTTTGTTTTTGTTTTTTTAAAGTGTGGGCTTGGTCAAAAGTACAGTTTGTCATAAACTCAAATGTGTCCTAAGTCAAGGACTGCCTGTTCAAGATTATTATCACCATCAACTGACATTTACTGAGCACTCAGGATGTGCCAAACTTTCTAAGACCTTTACTTACACAAGGGCTTTAAAAAGTTCATGGAAAAATTCTATTGTCTTTTAATTCCCTTTTTCCAAGAACTGTTTGAAGCCTCCTCTTATTTACTTATGTAATTCTCACAATGGGTTTTGGGTTTTGCCTTTTTCTTCATTTAAAGATAAAGAAGCAAAGAGAGATGAAAGAACTTGGCTCAAGTCATTCAGCTAGAAGGCAGCACTGTAGGCAGGAAGATAATGACAGGGATTCAGAAAACCTGGATGCTAACTCTACCACTCACTGTCACATGACTCAAGTCAAATTTCTTATCTGAATTCTGAGTCGCCATTTGCTTGGGTTTTCATGAGGAAATTAAACGATACAAAGTTTAAAAGTTTTGACATCTCAGGTGGTATATTCAAACAAAAAAAATATAAGCATGAATTACTTAAAAGCATAAACAATTGCTTCTGACATGTTGCTTTCTTTAGTTCAATATTATTCACAGAGTAGAAAGATATAAGCCTTCTGTCACCAGTGGTTACCCCTAGAGAATGAACTGAACAGGAAGAAAGAAAATTGCTTATTTGCCTTTATAGAACTTTGTATTATTTAAATGTTTCCTAAACCTAAGTCCTAGTATGGCACTGTAGGATAAGCACTGGACTGCTAATTAAAAAGATCAGCGTTCAAACCTACTAACCGCTCCTTGGGAAACCTATACAAGGTCACGATGAATTGGAATTGGTTTGACAGCACTTAATAACAACAGTATATATTAGTTTTATAATGAAAATTTTTACATTATGTCCAAAAGGAGTAATCCTAGATTTACCGTCTTAGAGACAAAGTCATGCACGCGCATCCCTCCATTATTCTGTGGAGTGCCAGAACTATCTGTCTCAGTTCTGGGTTCCAGCTGCCTGCTGCTCAGGGTGGAGTCACTGTTCCAAGGTTGTAAAGCACCTAGAAAACAAGCAACTTTAAGCTTCATATGTTGAAGTATTGTGTTCCTTCTGAATTTAAACCCAAAATTTAATTAGCAGGTAAACAATATAACAAAACCAAAAATAAGTTGTCAGCAGTCATGAAAAAAAAAGAACTGAAAGAAAAATAAGTTATGCACTGAACTGGCAAGGTCAAGACTAGTAACTGACAGGTAGAGCTGGCCCTCATTAAGCAGCAGGACTAAATGATCCAATACATCCAATCTCTGTCTTCTTTCCAAGGAACTAATTCCCCCAAATTTTACCAATTATTTTACACAACTTAGACATAAACCCAACAAACCTGTTTTCCTTCGGCTCCTAGTCCAATATGGCACAGTCTCAATAGTGGATACAGCTTCAATGGGCCCACCATCATTGGGAACAGTTACTGTAGTTTTTGCAACTATGGATTCATTACCCTGAAATAAATGTAGCAATGAGGAGCAAGCAAACATATAGATTCTCATGTCCCCTCCACTACAGGGTACTTTGGAGTGACTGAAAAATTCCTGAAGCTTGGTTTGGACTTAAGGACCTAGAGCTCAAAACACTCTTAAATTGAAATCTCATACTTTAGAACAGAAAACAGAGGCCACAGGGTAAGTAATATGATAAGTCATAAAATATTGCTACAAAATCATAGAAACCTTTATTAAGCAATAATATCAAAATGTGAAACTACTGTTTCTCACCATATCCTCCATCTAGGTCTACATGCTTTCAAAGGCAATGTTTCCATCTGTCTAAGCCTTCCTGAAGAATTCTGCCCTCTTCAGTTTACACCACTTCAAAATGGTAGTTTGAGCATCCTTTTCAGTGTTCTTGAATTTGGAGAACAAAAAGAAATCTGAAGTGGGTGCAAGATCAGGGCTATAGGATGAATGTGGTAAGATTTTCCAATGAAATTCTTGTAAGACAGTCCTTACTACCCTCAAAGAATGAGGAGATGCATTCTTATGATGGGAAAAAAAATTCCTGAGTGCAACTTTCCTGGCCTTTTTTTAACCAATGCAGTTTCCAAATTTCCCTAAAACTTCTTCATTATAAGCCCCTGTGACTGTTCTGTGTTAAGAAAATTTATCAGGTTACCATTTTGGAATTCCCAAAAGCAGTTTCCATAACCTTCTGAGTTCACTTCTCTGCCTTAAATTGAACCAGCCCAGCTGAACCCCTTGAAAGCCACCATTTTGACTGTTCTTTTTTTTTTTTTTTAAGTATTTTAGAGAAACTAAGATGGGTGTATTAAAGAATTTATCTACAGCCATTTATTATTCAAAACATGTTTTTGTTTGGAATAAACCCACACGTGTTAACTAGGACCTTAGTAGCAATACTTTTTGACTTCCTTCATACATACAACTAAGAATCAAACATAAAGCTGACAGATGTTTATATAATTATTCATTACA